TTCGGCGCTACGCCCCCATGTCCGCAGGGTGACACGCTCGCGGAGTTCAAATCCGCCAATTCGAGCGTGAGAGTTTAATCGACGACGGCGGAGCGTGAAGCCGCGCGTGAGAGCGAAGACCGTTCCAGCGTACAGCCGGCGCGGCCATCAAGTGAGACGTTCTTCACGACCAAGAGACGACCATGACCTTCGACCGGGCGGCGGAGAGCGTCCCATTCTTGAATTCGCGATTCCAATCTCTTGTGCGCGCTGCGCGCATCCATCTGCTGGCTGCGGACCATTCTCGTCGTCGTCGCACAGGAGATTTCTTGTTGATTGAGGGAGAAGTGAGTGCGCGTGATTTGGAATTGAGAGCGATTAGAGTTTGCCGAGAGAGAAAGAAACGCGGACAGTGCGGAAGTAGAATGAGCGGACGAGCGAACCCCAGGAACGCAATGACGAGACCGAGCAGATTGCGGATGGTGCCACTTCGCCTGCCGCAGAACGGGCTGCGCGCTTTCGAGGAGCGCTTAATAGCAAGAAAGCTCGATTTCTTGCTATGGGGATGGAATTACATCTGCGCGAATATGGTGCGCGAGTGGCTAGAGCCACAGGGACCACCCTCGCGCGGATTGCGTCCGCATGTTGACCGGTGGACAGTCCAAGATTGGGCGCAGGCGTTGGGAAGATGTGCTGGCATGCCAGGGCTTCTCCTTTTCGACAGCGAGAGCATCAAGGTGACCAAGCAAGAAGAGGCGCAATTTGTGGAGCTGTTCAAGACCGGGAGGTCTACCAAGAATGGGTACAGGACCCGTGATTACAAAGATCGATTTCGCCGGACTTTGTCCGCAGCGCTGATGCAATTACTGCAGCCGCACCGTGCCTGCTACATCACATTGTGGCAGGTCTCTTTTGTGGAGTGCGTCATCGAGGGAACTCCAATTCACTGGGCGAGCATCCTGCACAGGGTGATGCGACAGCACGCGTTTGAGGAGAAGGGGGGAACTCTAAACCATCTTTCTCCTTTCCTCATCAATTTTTATCGACAGCGGAATTGTTTGACAGCGGCAGAGCTTGAACATTTTCCGCCATTGTCCATCGACCATCCCGGGAAGTATGTGCGGGAGAACGAGGTCGATACTGACGCAGAGGAGTCACCGACTTCTACCCCATCGAGACGGAGAGACGAAGGGAGACACACCCCTGCAGCGCGAGTGCCGCGGAAGCGGCGATGGAGGGAAGAGTCCGAAGAGGAGCAGCATCAAGAACCCTCTGCTCCCATTCGACCGCGGCCGCTGTGCGAGCCATACAGCCGGCCGAAGCAGAAGGCACGCAGACTGGTGTTGCCAGCTGACAGTGCAGACACGGCGACGATTGCGACGGAGATAGGAAGTGCGTCGCCAGAGAGGCGAGAGGAAGCGCGGACGACCGCAGGAGCGACGGGCCACGCTGCAACCTCGTCGGGAGAGAGGCCGCCTACGGGCCAAGGGCCTCCGGAGTTACCACGTGCGATGCGGACAGATGTTCCGTTTGCGCACAGGCGAACCTCCGCGGACGGACGAGCCTCCGCGGACCGGCAAACACAAGTGGACGTGGATCTACGCTTACGCGTGGGAAGGAGCAGTCCGCCTGTGCACAGGCGCTCGCCTGTGCACAGGTCACCTGTGCACAGAACACCTCCACACGTGCCGCCTGTGCACAGGCAAGAATCACCCCCGTTCCAACGTAGGAAGGGGAAGGAGCCGGCGGAAGAACCGCCTACGAGACACCGGCCCTCGGGGCCAGACCCTCCGGCGCACCACGCGCCGCAATTCGCGCCTTCGGCGCCAGGGCCTTCGAGCCGAGGAGATACGAGCAGAGAGCGTGCGGAGGCCGCACCATCGGCGGGAAGTCCGCCGATAGATGCGCCTTCGGCGGTAGGGCCTATAGGCCAAGGAACATCGGGCGTGCGGCCCCCGGCCATGTCGCCTTCGGCGATAGATGTCCGCGGCGCTACGCCTGCGGCGGACAAGGCGCCGGCACATGCGCCTGCGCACGGGCCGGGCACAGCCCCCACGGACCGATCAAGGGAGCAGCAGACGGAGGAGCGGAGTGACTGTCAGCGGGATGAAATCTCGATGCGCGATGCGCAATCCAACCCCGCGCAGCCACCCTCCGGCGACGGACGACAGAGGCAGAGAGGATGCGGTAGACCATCAACAAGCGAGAGACGGGGATGCCGCACGGATACATTCGCCTTCCGCCTTAGACATTTTGGCGACGAGCAGCGAGGCTGCAGCCGTGCCTTCGCAGGCAGCACACGTCGAGGACGTGCAGCCCCACTCGGGGCAGTCGCCGACGCAATCAATGGCGACTGAAATTCTCCACTCGGATGATGACGACGGAGGCTCCACGGAAGAAATGTCAGGAGCAGAAGACACCGAGGAGGAGGAGGAGGAAATTGTTGGAGCGCCGGCGGCGGCGCTCTCTGAGCAGGTGATTCCGTTGCTGCGGTACTTGGATCGCAAGGTCGATAAATACGCCGACCCACTCCAGCCGGGATCTTACATCGAGTTAGTGCGCAGGCGGACTCGCACTAAAGTCCACACCAGCAAGCTATTAGCTAGAGTGGACCAGGAGTTGAGGGACTTGAAGGAGAAGCATGAGTGCTTGTGGGGACAGTACAAGCTTAATCAGAAATTCTACAAGCACTCCGAGAAGATGAAGGATGAGAAACTGGGCGAGCTCACCAAGGAGCAGGTGAAGGTCAAGGAGGCACTCAACTCTGAGCAGGCCCAGAATCGGATTTTGTCAGAGGAGCTCGTGCGACAGACGCGGTTGTTGGAACAATGTCAGCTCGCACGGCAGGCGGATGAAGAATTAATCCGCAGTTTACAGTCAGAGTGTGGCGAATTGAGAGCGCAACGTGCCGAAGCCGAATCGCAATTAGTGACGATTGAAGAGGATCGTAGGAAGGAGGCGGATCGCACGAAGGTGGAGACGGCGAGGCGAGTCGCCCACTGTCTCAAGGGCTACGCCCACTGGGAAGTAAAGGCGCAGGAGAAACTCACACTGCGTGAGTTTGAATTGCGCGCAGCCGGGTTGTTGTCAGGCGACAGTAGGAGTCGGCGGAAGGTAGCGAAGAAGCTCGAGGCCTTTCTGTCGAAGGCACAGGATACCATGTCCGCCCTCGAGGGGGAGGTGTCCGCGACGTTGCAGCGGTTGGGACTGCGTAGTCGAGCGGAAGAGTGGCAGGGTAGGGAGTTAGTGCGCGGCAGTCGGCCGCGCAGGAGACGTAGTACAGGTTCCGCGGAGTGTAGTGTAGCGTGGTTCCGTGCAGGCGTGTAGCGTAGTGCAGTGTAGTGCTAGGTAGGACTTAGAAGGTATAAAATAGTTCCAGGCGTTTTGCCTGGGGTTCTTTCCCATCAGAAGTGCAGATCAGGAACCCATTTCCTTTGCGTGTTTGTGTCCTTGAGTTCTGTCACCACGCACGAGGAGTTACAACTTAGCGTTCCGCATTTTGTAGCTGAAGGCCTTCGGCCGAATGTTCAGAGCTAGTACATTGGTTAGAGACTTGAGTAGTTCGGATCTGCGCCTGCGGGTGACTGCCGATGCTCAGAGCCAGTGACTAGTTAGATACTTGAACAGTTTCGCCCCTACACCTTCGAGTGTTCCTTTCTGATTGTACTCCTTGGGATTTTTCCCCTGAATGCCAAAGTGAAGTTTTGCTACTTCGTGTAAGCCTTGGTTGTAAATTCAGGTTACGCTGCAGCAGGTGCCTTGAGGGTAACCCCTGTAGTATTTCTGGGAATGACAAGTGCCTGAGAATTCAAACTCTTCAATAGACTGTTGTTGTGTTACTGGAATGTTTCTCAGTGAGTCCTTCAGTGCGGACCTGTGTTCTCTGCGCGTTTTGTGAGTTGAGAGTGTTGTTCACCGCGTAGGAGTGACTTCGATCCGAAGTAGGCAGTCCAAACCGGGTTTCCTACACTAGCAGCAAGCTAGTGGAAGTGTTGTAAAAGCCGGAGTTGGAAGTCACTGCCCGCAGCTTTGCCGAGTGTGCTCGCGAGAGACTTTCCCCCTGAAATCTTGAAGTAGAGGTCCTAACGGATCTCTGGGTTGTGTTTCTGTAGTTTCAGGTGTGTGTGTGTGTGTGTGTTACGCTGCACTGTGCGACCTCCGAGTGCGCTCCGAGTGGACACTTGCAGTATTTCTGGGAGTGACAGTCGCCTGAGAATTCAAACTCCTCAATAGTCTGTTAAAACGTGACACTTTGTACCCTGTGTGTTCCTCTGTACCTGTGGGTTCGACCTTTCTACCACTATATTGCAGTTTTAGCCTTTAGTGGGTTATTACACTTATAAGTCCGAATCCGCAAGGCGAATATTTGGATTACCTTGATCCCTTTGCACCTATCACATTATTGTCCATCATCTCAACTTCACATGTCTCATGGAAACATATGGTTTGGTATCGTATGGTACGCACGGATGCAAATTAAATAACTTTCTCCATGTTTCCTACTTACGAAGTCTTAATTTGCACAGTGCAATATGATCTGAGAATGTTTCAGAACCGAAGAGAAAGGTAACTCTCTTGTATGAAAGAAAAATTGGAATACAAATAAATCTTGAATGTAAATTTGGTAGCATAGCTGCAAGTGGGAAGATGATGAACTAGGAAATGTTTCACACAAATCTCGATCATGTATGTTCCACAAGCATTGCAGACATCAAAACACTTTTTTACAATCCACTTAAGAGCACATGGGCAATCAGAACTGGCATTAGAAATAATTGCAGCAGGAGGTACTAAGGCGCGTCCTTAAACAGCCGGAAGACTGTTTAAGGACGCGCCTTAGTACCTCCTGCTGTTAAGTAGAAAAGACTCTCTTGCTATGAGAAGCTTTGAACCTCTTTTGAACTCAGTACCACACAGTAACCAAGAGCAAAGATGCACACAAGAGAGCGTATTTTCTACGACAATTCAAATTCCATTGATATCAAGGTATACAATAAATTAATTCAATATGAGAGTATGAGTGGAAAATTTGGTATTTTATTGCCAACCAATGAACAGTCTCTTCGCAATTTGGCGGTATAATCTCTTTGCAGAGAGGCATTGAAGAGATCAAAAACACAAAAGCCTTTCCTGCAAAGCATTACTAAGACTCCGACAACTTTCTCTGTACTCGTCTTCACTCTAATCCTGACAATAAGAACGCTCTGCAAAGATTACCGAACTAAACTAATCTCAACGTCTCACTTCACTGTTGCGGATTCTGCAGATTGAATCCTTATTAGCTGACACGGTATGTGAGTATCGAAGAAGCGGGATGAAAACGAGATGATATTTAACAAGCCTGAACAAAACAAGACGAGCTGTACAACCAGTACCCGGGAACCAATGTTCCAGCTACTGTTAAACTTCTGCATGGTTTTGAAATTGAGCTGTACCCACGGACATCACGTCTGGAGGCACTCCCTTCCCATTCTCAGTAACCTCAGTAATCTCAGTTGGCATTCTTCTGGTGTTTCCACAGAAGCATCCGTACAGAGTGAGTTGGCAAAGAGCGAAAAATACTCCTAGGGCGTTTGGGATCTGCACGAAAATGCATGACAAAGATGAGTAAAGCCGAGGACATGAGAACATAGGGCATGAGCATCAAGCAGAATTTCGGAATGGTTGAAGTTGAATCACTCGTACCGTGATGTACAAGTCGTGGCCTATCAACGCATAAGTGGTCCATACTATACCGTTCAGTAGATTAAAGACTGACAGTGGTAACGGCATGAACTCCGTTGACTTGGTTGTAATGACAGTTTTCTGAAACACAGAGCGCAATTGAGCAGGATGGTCAGTTCGAACCTAAATGGCCCGCTTGAATTTTGAGGAGGAGGAGAGTAAGTTCGTACGTAAATGACAAGTCATTTACGTACTGACTCTCCTGCTCCTCAAAATTTTGAAACCTTGAGGCAAAGATCCAGAATTTGTTACTGTTCTTACGTACCATGATTGTCAACGGGGACACGTACATAGACGTTCCAATGATCACACACAGAATACCAACGACGGTTTGTCTTTTACTGTGGCGATGGATACCCAGCAAGTTAATGAGCAACACCGCAACGAAGAAAATAACAATGGCCGTTATCATGAGCACTGCATTCCTCTGCATGTCACGAAACAAGCTTGTCAGGCCGCATGCTTCATGTCATTCTTAGTCTTAACTACCTCAGGGACCTAAGCAGAAAATCAGAACGACCGCCTCGGTTGGAACACAAAATCCTACCCTCGTTCGTCTATCCTTCGAATAAACCAAGTATAAACAGAGGTAAAAAAGTTCGATGAAGGCGCCAGCCCCGTTGATAGTAACGACGAGGACTCCCCACTTTACAAAAGGAGATCCGTACAGCAACCAGAGGAAACAATTAAGCAGAGTCGCAACGTAGGGGACTGCCGAATACTCCTCGGTGGAACGCAGCTTTATAATTTTCAAAAACGTGGTACTGCAAAGAGTTCAATGAAAACACGGGCTTTAAGCAAGATGTATAACAAATTGCGTTTTCTTCTTCCGGGTCCAAATCTTCCACAAATCCGACTTCAGAATAAGTTTGAGTTGCATGCACGTGCAATAAAATTCCTCCACTTACAAAGGAGACAAGAACAAACATATCGAGGTTACGTTTCCAATGACTCCCACGACGAACTGAGCAGTCGACATCTTCGCACTCTGATCGAACGACGAACGCAGGAGGATTCAGAACCGTGAAGCAATGGAATCAGACGGGCGCCAAGCGAAGCACTTCAGATGCTAAGAAACCAACTGAGGGGAGTGATTTTATACTCAGATCCGGGACTCTGAATCAAGAGAGTCCCGGATCGCTGCCAGACTACCGAAAGCGGTCCAATGGCACAGCACCCAAGAAATGGGGACCACATTTGACAATTTTTAGGCGATCGCCGCAAACCCCTTCAACCTAGAAATGTTGAAATCGACCTCCTCCTTTTATAAGTCTTAGCGCCAAGACTCGCCACCTAAACAGACTCCGCAGAGTCTGTTTAGGAGTCTGTCTGCAAAACGGCACCGGGCCGTGTTAACACACAGAGGGGTCACACACAGAGAGGGTCCAGCCGGGCTACGCCTTGGCCGTATCCCAGTATCCCAGTCATCAACGAGAGCCGGCCGCCACGTCCGCGCCGGAGCTTCCGACGCCGTTGGCAGTAATTCCGAACCGTTTCCTTAAAGAGGATTAGGATGACGGCAAAGGCCGCTTCTCGGCCGTGGATTAGGGGCGGGCAGATCTTTATCCGCTGCGGCCACGACAATTGTGGATCCGATTAATTCTCATGAGCTAGAAATGTCATTTTCGTGGGAAGGTTGAAGATCGACTGTCGGTGGCGGTTTTGGATTTATGGCAATCATGCTGAATATGGCTCGCCCCACACGATTCGCTTCGTCTTTTTTCGGCTCGTTAGATTTGTGTGTGTTTTTTCGGCTCTTTAGATTTGTGTGTTCTTTCGGTGCGATTTTGCGGGCGCTTCTTCGGTGGCTTCGGAGATTTTCCCGTATAACTTAACGAGACGGTCGTGTCGGCGTACATTCTTGCAACCTGGCGGCCGTGTCATGTCAGCGGCGAATTTCTTCCTGAGGCTCGCTGCGAGGAGTCCAAGGTGTTCTAGCACTGCTTATCTCCATCTCCTTTCTCCTTGGCCTCGAAAGATGTGTTCCTCAGGTTTCCTTTGCTGTCCCTTCTCGACTGCAAGCGACATATTCAACGCTTCTTCTCTCCTTGTTAAGTCAGAGTATGATCATATTGGCTCTGTAACTGAAATCAAATAGTGAAGAGCCTTCACAGCACCGATTTATTCGAGTCAAATGTGATGGTTGAATTCACAGTGTGTTTACATACCGCCTTCTGACTCTTTATATCAAGCAATGTTGATTTGATTAATTTTGCATAGGAGGGTCGCTTTATTTCAGAAACAACCGCTTGTGTATTCCTGTAGTGCTCTGACGGTTGTACTACTAAACCTGGTTAGTCTCTACGGTCTATTTACATTAAAACACATGCTAAATATATACAACTCTGCTAAAAGCAATATTCCAAATTTGTAAACCAGATTTATGACCTCCCTGGTTTCCCTTATTGTGTTCTTTATGATTTCGTATATGGGAAACACAAGATGCCCTCAATAAAGATCAGGCCAAAACTGAGGAGGTGCATATGAAGACACATCTACTAAAAAATCAAGACCTCTTATAAACTTTCCAGCTACATCAAACGTTCCACAGGGAGCACTACCAGTCGAAGAAAGTGCCACTCTGACTGGGAAATAGGTGAGGTGAAGGAGCAGTCGGAAGGCATCGTCTGCCTCACCACTTCACAAAAAACACGAAGGCGAAGTAATGTCGAGTTTCCATCACTTCCTAGACACGACAGGGATCAACATTGTATACGTATATTTTTTTTGTAAATGTGACGGTTGTCATTTTCTACACGATGCAAATTGGCTCATATTTCATACACGGCGGAAATTTCTTCAAGCGATGAAGCAACATTTATAGTTTTCTGTCTAAAAAGATCCATCTTAAAAACTGATTGCTCTAAACCTTTCTAGTCTTCTTTTGTGAGACAGTTCTGATCTTTATAGACAACCGCTTACAAACACCTGTATTTTGTGATTTCATTAGTTTCAGAGATGGAAGAACATATGATTAGGTTTGCATATCAATTGTATGATAAAATATTTTATTAATTTGTGAGATGTTTTAACTCTTGACATAAATACTAAGCTAACAACTCTATCACCGGATTTTGTATACGATAAATGTGTTTATTTGAAACGTGTGCAAATAAATGATTGGGTTAAAATTCGTGCGTAACAAGTAGTTATCATGAAATAATTGTCCAATTTGTGTAGCTCAATTCATCCAACTCATCATTTTTATTGATAATATTGGAACATATGTCTTTACAAAAAGTTTAAAAATGATTTTTTTCCAATTTGACATGAAACTTCATTGGCTTCATGTCTATTACTTATGAGAGTAGACCATTTGAGTGATAAGAATCACTCAAATGGTTCAATCTCATTAAGAAAATTTTATTCACACAATATACTTGTATGGAAAAATTCGAAAAACCAAAAAAAATTCAATTTGATGAAAGCAAAGTTGTGATGTGATATTCAAAAAGTGTAAGGTCAATATGTTGATTAAATTTTAACACTAGATGAAGTATTTGGATGCCTTGGATTTTACTTTATTGAAAATCACATTATATAAAAAAGAAAAAAAAAGTAATCTACTTACTTTACATATATTATTCATTGTGACGTACTTTTTTTAAAGTAAAAATGAAACGCTCTGGTGCCTACAGCTTTTGCCCCCAAAAAAAATTCCTAGATACAAAGCGAGTGCATTGAGATGTTTGAAACACAAAACTTTGAATTGAGACGTTGAATTGTGATATAAAAATTGAGATAATTGTAATGGAAAAGTTTGGCTAACCTTGAAAGCGTAGAGTTTGAATTTGACAGTTAATGCTTATATGTGTATGGAGATGAAACAAAAAAGTTGAATTTGAAATTGATCGGAATTGATACTCAATTTTTAAAGAATTTAACTTCAATGAAATTATTTTGATTGCAGCAAAGAATTTATGCTAGTTATGTCTGAATTTTACATGGTCAGATCAATCGTGACACAATCAATCAATTTTATATATAGACATAAATTATGTAGCAAGCTATGGAATTAAAATTGACTTTACGCAATTGAAATTTTGATTCCATAGCTTGAGAAAAATTTTGCTTGCAGCTTGCAAGCTATCGAATCAAAATTTCAATGTAGTAAAAAATGAGAAAATTTAATGTTTTGTAATTCATATGCATATTCTTATATATTGTTGGCATTGCAAAAATAGATAGGGTCATTTCTGTTAATATAAAAATATAAAGATTACGAAATAATTGAATTCTAAATGAGTATGATAAAATAATATTAATACTATTAAAAAAAATTTGTGCATAATATATGATAATTACTGTAAATCATGTTTTAATTTATTTACATTCTTCAAATTCAAATTTCATGAAATATACTTTTTTCACACGTAAAATAACTGTAATTTCAAAAAACCAGTAGCATTAATAAAATTCAACTTTCAAAGAACAGTATGTTCAAAATAAAATTGAAATTTTGAAAATTCTCTGAACACAAATACTGATATATATATATATATATATATATATATATATATATATATATATATATATGAATTAAATGTGATTGATGATAATTTAAATAGCTGGAGATGAAATTTTTAAAAAAAATCTGAAAATTAAAAAAAATACGCATAATTTCTTGTTTCTGAAAGTAATTTTTAATAGGGATGTCAAAAATTGTACATCATTGAGATTCAAAATAGTGCATAAATATTAAATTAAACAGATATATCAATTTGTGTGTCTAAACTTTTTTTAAATAAGAAATAATATCTTTTTGTTAGATGATCAGTTAAAAGTTTAAAAAATTTGATTAATTGATAAATTGATTATTTCTTCACCTATTTTTATGAAAAATAGGTGAAGAAATAAATGTAACATTATTTTGCACCACCAACTATCAAAACTTCAAAAAGTCTTGCAAAAAGCTTCATTTCTCAGCATGTTGACACAAAGCTGCAAGCATTACAAGAATGAATATTTGCAAATCTCCTATTTGAATAGCAGCATCTGAATCAATTTTCAATTTGATCATGAGTACTTCAAATGACTACTTTGTTTTTTTCATCATTTTTATTTTATTGTGATATGAAGACATCATCTACAATAAGAAGTAAGTATTTCGCTGACAGATCATCTTGAGCAAAAGATAATAATTTTATTCTCTCTTTCATTACTTTTATCAAGAATTGCATTGAATGTGAGCATGAAATTATGTGCAAATCCAAGTACTTTACAATAAAAAGATGTACAATGAAGTTATCAAAACAAAGTTATTATGAAATAGATTCATTAACTTTTATGAACAAGGTCATGTTATCATGATCAAGGAAGATATCATGAGCTTTTAACTAATTGGAATCAACCCATTTTTCAAATTGTTCAAAAGCATTATTAGAGCATTTAGACCATGATAACACGTTGATCCATGGTTAACTTCAACATGGATCTCACAATGTGCAATATTTTATATGAATTAATCATTCATGATAAATAATTCACATCATTTACTAATTCTTGAAAAACATAGCTTTTTTGAAATAAGATAGAGCTTACAACTACTTTTTGGGGATATGATAGGATATGCATTGTTTTCAAAAATTACCTAACAACCTGCAACTGCAATTGGCTGGCCATCTTTACCTTTATTAAAACAAACTCGTATAATCGATTGCACTAGAATAGAAAAAAGTCACCATATAACTTATCATGTTTATAGCTTCCTCCAAAAAATTGTGTGATAGATCTAATTGGCTCAATATTTTTTTTTTCCATTCCAAAAAAAAGCCACTCAGAAACACCATCTTGTTGTGAAGTATATAATATACTGAGAAAACAAAAATGTATTTTTTTCTGGTAGTATAATTGTGAAGATCTTGTTCAACTCAGTTTCAACTTGGGCTTTTCACTTCTTGAAAATAAATAATATTTTAAACTTCTTATATAGAAGAATCATTCACACAAATGTCAAATTATTATCTGTGAAAAATACTTTGTATAGTATTCCATTTGATGATGAAGCAGCAATGTATACCACATGTCATCTATGTATATGTTCAAAAAATATACTTGAAATTATAAGTTTTGATGCAAAAAGCAGTTTGATGTTGTTTTCTTATCACACTCCTTACATATTTTTTAACTACTAAATTGCAATGTAGATATCAGAATTTTTTGGTGAAGCATTCTTCTAAGAAATGATTCAATAAAAATTCTTTTGGCAATATGACAACTGGCATACTTCTAGAAATGCCAGTTGTCATTATTATTATAAGATCTCAAATTATGTCCTTCTTCACAAACAAAATTTTTCCAGCATAATTTTGTGTATACTTATGAGTACTTTCAAGATAATCAATTTTTCAATCATAATTTGAAGTACAGTATTGACATTATTTTATTATGACCAAATGCATCTAACATCTCAAAAAGTTTCAAATTTTTTGTGAGGCTAATAAAAAAAATCTAACATCTAATTTTGTGATGAGATGATGTTCGAATTATGTTTACAACTATTTTTGGTATGTAGTTTCATTTTACTATTATATCAAATTAATCTTTGACTCAGTCAACTGCTCAAAACCATAAGTTTTGAGCATAAATTTTATATTTATTCTATAAAAATTGTTAACGTTGTCAATGACAAGTTGACGATATTAACACAATTTGTCATTCTACATGGTGGCTCATGGTTGAATAGAAGAAATTGATCACTAGATTTTTCAGCAACAGTTATCCCATTATATACCACATGATAATTAAACACAAATATAGAAAACAAGAAAAACGTTTGGAAGTCATAATTATGCTATCAAAAAATTTGACGCACTTGTAGATTCAATTTTTTAGGAGATGATGATATTTTTTCTTCTGATTATGGTATACTTTTTATCTTAGAATGAGCTCTTCGTCTACTGAAGTTTGAGCTTTTTTGGATCAACTGAAGTAAAATACAGCAATACCCAAAAATTTCACTATCATTGTTGACTAAAAATCCTGGAGTAAGTAAAACATTCAAAGATTCAACAATTGATGGAAAAGAAGAGGTTCTACAAACTAAAAAACATTTACACTAATGAAGTACAAAAGATCTAAACAAATGTTCATATGAAAGAATTAAAAGACTTATGAAATAAATTATGTCACATCTTTCTTCTACAACAATTTAGATGTTCTGAAATCTCATGGAATAACTAATGAGAATAAACGGAATGTGTTTTATCATTTAATACTTATAAAAATCACAAAGTATGAATAATCCTTGTGCATACATGTAAAGGTCAATATTTAATTTGTTGGCTTTATCATTCTATTATTTTATGTAAATTACATGTTTGCTGCTCCTGAAAAATTCTGATATTGATACGTTCAAAGCTCTCTAAATTCTAAGTTTATGAAAAAATTCCAAGTTATAAATTAAATTTTGCCTATCGTTGTCCTTATTTCAGACTTTCATCACCTTTTTTTCTTTTTGGTGTTCAAATTAAGAGCTTAAACTGTAATCATATATTTGATATTATTTTACAAAAAAAAAAATACGAATAAAATTTAAAGAACTGTAGTTTACAATTTACAATTTTTTTTATATCATGTATACTTCTTGATTTTTTCAAGATGTAATTTTATATGTAGTGTAGGTTATAGAACTCAGGACAAGGATTGATGGGAAGATTTTCAGTACTTAACGCAGGTCTTGATTAATTCCAATTAGTTGGACTTTGGTTGCTTAGACTCGTTAGCGAGAAGTATATAACAGAGGTGACTCAAGTTCTTTATTACACAAACTTTATTTGTGTGTTAGAAAAATTAGAAGAAATTTTTAAAAACAATTAGAAGAAATTTGTGTGTTAGAAAACCTTGCTAAGAAGAAACATATATTTCTGCATACACTCTGTTGACAATGTTTTTTCGCGGGACATTTTAATCTGTAGTTCTTGACTTAGGGAATTTGCAGCTAAGTTTGTCCATTTAGTAATCAGTTTGCTACTTTTTTTTATCTTAATTGGTGTTTCTTTTTATATGCTTCTTCTTCCACTTTGGCTTATCCAGAGAAATTCTCAGGTTACGCATGTGGTTTTGAGGGCGGCTGTTATGTCACCCACATTCACTAACGTGTGTGGCCGAACTTACACTAAGAATACAAAATGAGCTGGCTCAAAATTGGAGGGCTTTCCACCATTGGGTTTCTCAACGCCTTGTATCATTAATCTAGTCCTTAGCGGAGCCCGGCGCTATATCGACTCTTTTGACAATGCTTGTACCCACAAATATAAATCTAATTTAATATAGAAGATGGTGAAGCGACAACTACAAGCATCCAATACTATCCGGTTAATTGACAATATTCATGAACACTGTTGGTTTCAAGGCTCTCAATCTTCGAAACATTAAAGCATGAAGAATCCTAGTAGCTTTCAAAATGATCGTTGTTCATCTAGTTTGAGAAATCTAAACATACGGTTTCAATCAAGGTTTTGAAAAAGAAAAGTTGATAGTTTATTTACTTTAAATTTCTTTTGGGCTTTCATCTTTGAAAGCAATAACTTTATACACTATATCATTACTCTCCTTAGATAGTTGATGAAAACAAGTTACACAATACACAAACAACAAAACAACCTTTACATTAAGATTTTTTAAATGCACATCTAATCTTAGATAAATAATTGTTTGACTTACTGTTTTGTTGATATGATGTTGTAAAATTGAAAAAACATGAAAAACATATCTTAAATTGGAAAATTAAACATTTGTTTGTCATACGATTAAAATGCATGACGCCATCAGCACACTTGTAATGACGCACCTACGCACCGAAGCAAGCTTTTTACTTGCAGTATTTCATTCGTTTTCAAGATTTCCGTTTGCTGGAGAATTTCTGCAGTATCTTCGTTCAGTGACTTCACCTCGGATTTAAAGATTCATATATGCTTACAACATTATTTCTTTCGTGTAGTATTTCTCTTGAAATCATTGTATATGTACCTTACGCATACAAAACTGCCAATCTGAATTCCGTTAAGAATCACAACTGTTTGATGAAGTTGCATTTGACAAAATCTTCTGTGTTCGAACTTCACGTTTATAGGTTCATATACGCTTACTTACAATTAGTTCTGTCGTGTGGTACTTCTCTTTAAGCCACTTTAGATGTACTTCACGCGTACAAAACTGTCAATCTCAATTCTGTTGAGAATCACAACTGTTTAATGAATTTACATTTGACAAAATCTTCCGTGTTCAAAATAATGTGCAGAACTCTGTCAGCTGAGATTTCAGATGTACTACTTGAACATTAACTTTGTCCATAATACTTCAAGTGTTTCTTCATGTGTTGTTTTGACGGTCATGGATACCGCCATGGGAGCGAGTATAGGAAATGCTCCCAGATTTTGGAAAGATCTCACCACCAACTGCACGGTGTATTTCAGAGTTTACTGTGGTAACCAAAGCACAATTAAAAGTAGGAAAGATTGAACACTCACTAGCAATGCGTAAAGCACAACCCACAATAATTGAGGACTACCTAGAGGTGTAAACGGTTTCTTCATTCGCCAGTTCGACGAGTTTTGCGACAAAGGGAAGGTGGAACTATCCATCCAATAAGACCTCGATGAATACTGCGTTGAATCAATTTTTAAACGAAACAAATTGCAGGGACTCAAGTCCAGTCTTTGGTCCGCTCTGGCAGTAACGAGTCCTTAAAACATATCAAAAAAACCTTACCTTCAGATAAGAAATACATATGACAATAACAGGAGTAGTCGGCTCGGCCTCGATTCGTCGTACGATGGTCCAATATTACATTTCTTCTTGGCAGGTCGGAATGATTCCTAAACCAGGGAACAAATGAGAATTTTCATATAAAACAATCCAGCAGTGAAAGGTTTTCCTTACTACGCATCTTCCGTACATATGCCGTGCCTGAACGACCTTTCACTCAAATCAGTAGACAATTTTGGAGAGTGAAGAATAAGGAAACTCATTATATAAGGCATTCAAACATTAAGCGTATTCACCTTTCCAAACTTCAGTAGAGTAAGCAGCACATTCCCAAACCAAGACATGGTTTGCGACTTGCTTAGAAGTGGAGCAAGCTTCTTACAAGAGCCGAGAAAGGAGATATCCAAAAGCCACTGAACAAACTGGTCCTAACGATGATTGGTTCAACCTTGGTAACTCCTTATTGAGAAATTTACTATAAGTACAAAATTCGGCCATACAACTAACTCTTCCAGGATGAATCCAGTAATATCTGATAAGGCTACTTGAATCATGCGTTGCGTAATTATGACAGTACTATACCCAAGTCAGTAGAGTGACGGCAATCACTTCAAGTGCTCTCAGCCAATATTTGGAACAATAGGAAGATATGTTCAATTCTCCGTCAAAGATATTTAAGCTCTTCAAACTCGTCAGCTTTTCACTGTGCATCGGATCACCTCCAGGACAAGAACAAACAGAAGGATAACGAAAACCTCAACGACCAGGGTAGCACCTGCGTCAATCTCGACACGACATTCTTGCATCTGCAGCAAAATCCTAGGCCAGACTCACACTAGCAAAATTCTTGCTTGACAGATTTCATCACCAACAGTTCCAGGGGACATGGGCTTGCACACTCCTGAACTCTTGTAATAGCAAAATGAAATAATCAACCCAGAAATCCTGTCAAAACATCGGTGGGATTTAGAATAGTGGATGCTGTTCGAGTTTCAGCAATTCAGATAAAACAAGACAATAGGCGCTTCAAGTGAAGAAGGCATAACATCTTCGGCATAAGTCGTAACTACATATCTACACCGGAACCAAGAAACATCATTAGTAGAGCAGGCAGGCAGACAAGCTTTAGACTGCGAAACATCTCTCCCCTAGCTCAATCCCCAGTAGTTTGACTTATAACTCTTCCTTGAGTAGAGTACACAGGTCAAAGATGCAATCACTAGAAACGATATGGAAACTGTAAATAAGTATCTACCTACATCCATAACTGTAGATTTGAAAAACTGCTTCCTGTTAAGTTATAAGCAGGACTTACCCATCCATGAATCAAGATCCCATCATTTCACATCGAACCTGCCTGCCTTAGGACACTCTCTCAACCTGTTCCCACATCGTGCCACCTAAATACACAGAATGTGTCTTTCACTTCCAAATCTATGATAACGTCAACGACATAGAACCCAGATAATAGGAAATATTGATGGATTCCAACTGTTCCAATTCCAATTCCAAATTATCTCTAGGGATGGCTAAGTAAGGATTATGACACTTTTAAAACACGCAGTAAACTCAAACGACTCACAAAGCAGATGAACAGCGTTAGACATCGCAGCTGCACAATATTATGCCTCAAAAGAGAAATAATATTCACATGGTAACCGGAACGCAAAATAATGGTATAGAGTTATATTGACTTGTGAAAAGAGTAACCTCGTCAAATTTGGTAACCTAAATTGGAATTGATTCATTGTCCACGCAGAAGAAGACATTGAAACCCAGATCCACAAATAAACATAAACAAAATCTGAAGTACATAACTCATGCTACCCACCACTGCCGTCATCTCCAAAGGCGTAGATAATATATCTATGCGCACTCAATATACCATGCCTGCAGATGCTTTAGGCAGTTTTGGTAGCAAGGGCTCACAGCTTCACTCACAATTCCAATGAGCGCATGCTGCGTTTGCCCAAGTTAAGAGCCGAAGGCCTGACCCATAATTCAACAGTAGCAGTTATAGAATTCCACCGAGCGCAATATCAAAGATCACCCGTGAAAGTAAAACCTACCCATCTTGAAAACATACTCCTCCAGTGTCCAAAAAGGAGTCACTCCGTAGGTAGAGCGACTCAAAAAACGATAGTCCACTGTTACAATCGAATGGTGATTGCTCTCTCTTTCCCCCTCCCCCTTCCTTTCTACCTTCTCCCCTATGAAGGGAGGATCTCAGGACTTGGGTCAAAACCAGAAAAATTCAGTGTTGACACCAATGCAATCCACGCAACTCAGATCAAATACTCTCCAACAAAGTGATCTTCTCTACAGACTCCAGCTGGAAAATTCCAATATGCTGTAGCCAGGAAATCGGACCGGACGTGAAGACCGTAAATTGGCGCAACAAGCTTTCAATGGCCAACTGTCGTTTGTCCCACATCTGACCCACTAAATAAGTTGGATGCCGGTTCTCCAATATTCCTTCGAGGGGAAGACGAAGGCTTTACGACGTACACCTGCTTCAATTTAGATGAGGAAGAGACATACGGTTTCTCCCCAGAAGATCCACGCTCTGCAACTGGAGGCCTTCCCGGCCCTCCACCCTTTCTAACTTGGCCAGACCAACCGCCTTGTGCACCTACCCTTGGAAGGCCTTGCTGAGGAACACCCCTTTGATCCGAATACTGATTGGAGTGGGAATGTTGTCCCATTGACATAGGTGGCATCTGAGACGAGGTTGAATGGTGAGGAGATTGTATACGCGATCCATTAGTTCCTTGGGCATTTGTCCCGGAACTAGAACCCATTCCCACAGATGGCATGCTACCACTTCCGTTGCCACCTGCTCCTAAGGAACCACCAGACCTCGAAACTCTTGATGAACGACGCCCACTTCGCAACTTATTGTTACCGGCTCCTGGTCCAGGTCCTCCTGTAGGAGTAACTATACTACTACTGACAGGCGGTGCTCTGTTGGATGGTCGTTGACCCCTGAACGAAGAGCTTGTGTTGGTCCCAGACGAAGAAGAATCCCCTAAACCAAGTTCATCGGGAAACTGGGCAGCAGGATCAACCGACTGGAATAAACCAGAGCTGCCAGGATTTGATGCTGGAACTATATTGAAGCCGCTTGTGGTCTCCATCATGTGCGGAAGGTGACCTAAGTGAGTAGGACCCCGAGAATGTCTTGTCTGCATGGTAAAGCCCATAAGAGGGCCCGACATGGGAACGGTGTGTAAAGGTGGCCCAGGAACGTGGGACCACTGTGACTGCATTGAAACGTCAACGCCAGGAATCTGAAACAAACGGCCAAGACCAAGCATACAGAGGTGTCAAGAGAATACATCAGCCTGGGCTGAAAGAGGTAAGCACAACAAAGATGACCGAATTCATCATTCATGTTGCATAGTCACAGAACTTAAGGTGACAGAACTTACTTGAAACGGAGCCGACAGGTTTAGGTCAAATGGACCTGGTGTTGGCATTACTGAAGGACCAGGAGCCATTCTCTGAACATTAGTTGCAACCCCTGAGCTGCGCTGACCGGATATTATGCCACCTAAGCCTCCCCCAACCTCGTTACCACTCATACCGACAACCCCCGGACCTGAAGTTGATACTGGCGTATGCTTCCAGTCAGGTTGTTTTCCAGACGGCAAATATTGTTGAGGATTCATAAAGCTCACTCCTAGTTGACCAAATTGGCTGACAGACGCGAAGGGATTGGTATAGACCAACATGGGCGGATGCCCTTGTATACTAGGGAGAGCTCCCGTTGGATTAATAAATGGTCCTGTGTAGCCCGAAGGAGGAGGACCTGCATAATAAGAATCTACCCCACCAGAGTGCTGTGGTTGCCATCCTCCAGAGCCTGGCCCTGCACTACTGATTCCTTGGTCATGAACTGAGCCCGATGTGGATCCTTGAGGACCTTGAGAAGCATCTTTACTCGTACCAAAACCAAACATTGGCCCCCCTAACATTGATCCCATCTCCAGACCTCTGAACTGTAAAGGGCCTCCAGGCATAGAAGGCAGCAGCAATCCAGATGAATTAGGAAGAGGTCCCCGCAGCGACATTGATGAAGTAGGCTCGACGGACAGGTCGGCAGGAAGAGCAACTGTCATAGACTCTTCAAGCCCAGAAGCTTGCATCATGACTGAGCTAGTAGTTGCGTCTCCCATCGTTATGGCTGTGGTACATAAACAAGAAAAAAATCTTGATTATTTTACAGCATAAGTTCGCGACAACGTGTCAGGAGTGAGAAAAGCCAAATGGACCCGAAAGTGCCATAGAACCAAGAAATCATAAAACCGAAATAGACCGAGAGGAGACACGTGATAGTCCAAGCACTCCCAAAAGTTTAACAGCTCTAAATCATGAAAGCTCTAGTTCTTCGGTACACACCCGTATCGGCTGGCCAATACTCACTGTGCAAACTTGTGACTGACGAACTCCCATATGCACTTTTACTTCCCGAAACTGGCAATCCGACTCCCCGCAGAGGAATGTTCTGCACATCCCCATGCAAGGAACTACCGACAGACTCGTCACTGGAAATTGCTGCCACGGCAACTGCCGAAGCGGCAGCTTCGGCCTCAGCTTCGGCCTCAGGATCCACAGAATCCCCGCTCCTTTCCTCTTCCCCTCTGGTTCGTTTACCCTTACCGGTAAATGTACCAACTTCACTCTCACCTCCCGACAACCGTTTGGCCTTGCTCTTCAAGTCGGCATCATCAGATGACGCATCTGCCCTGGAACCTAGGGATGACCCTACGACGGCATTCAGGCCTGGTGTAAGAGGTCGACTGTTCGTGAGAGGAATTGGAGGTGATGTAACAGCCCCTGGAAACAGTACACAATGTTGCTGAGTACACAAAATGCAATCTGTACTCTTAGAAACCTTACTAGCATGCAATATAGAACACATGCTCTTGCCGCAAGCAATGGTCTTCACAAGCGAACCTGAAACGGCAGAGACATTGACAACAAAGACCAATTACCGTCTAAGCTAATAATTTACCACAAACTGGCAAAGCATAAGTCAGGAATCTGGAAACTTCTATTGATCCAGAGATCCAAAAACTGAATGCAAACGCCAACTGCTGAGTTATCAACCAACTCCAAGTCAAACATGCAGAGTTCCTAACAAGAACACACCAGTGTGTAAAAGGTTGCAGAGAACATTTGCAATGATCCCGCGAAGGTAGTAGAACATTGTCTATTTTGAATGAAGCCAATCGGAAGGAGAACGAAAGCCGTAAAATACGAATGATACGGCCTTAGTATCACCCGCTGTGAAGGGTTCCTTCTTAGCAAGTGAATGTCGTGGACCTTCGATTTAAGAATTATAAGTTGAAGGTCCACAGGTAGATTATCTGATAGGCATTTCTCGATATTGAGCCAGTTTACCTTTCAATCATGCTACGGATTCAAAACATGTTTTGACAGGAAAATCCTACGTCGTCACTGATTTCAAGCCTTACATATGAACGATATCTGTACAATCATACATAATGCGAGAAGGAAGCAGATGCGCACGGCGATTGTAGACGCGGTTTAATTCTACATGAAGAGCAGAGAGAGCAACGAGTAGCCATATTAGCGCCTACTCGCTGAAATTATCAATAAAGCTATGTACTGACGGTAGCCAGAAAAACACAAAGGACCTAGAACTCATACACCTGAAGACCTCGAAACAACAAGAAAGGAGAAAACAAAACAAATGAAGGAAATAGGTTGTCATGTGGCTGAGGTAAAGCGTATGAACTTAGAGCTTTACTAGGCTCCTTACCCTCTTCCAAAATACTTGAGACGAAACTAAGACACAAAAATGGATTACTAGGAACTCCGTAATACATGTAACTCAAATAAATTTCAGGTCTTGACTTGATGACTTGACTTGACTTGACTTAAAGCAGGTCAAGGCAGTAAGGCTGGGAAAGATTTGTTGAAACGGTGCAGCTGTAAGTTCTCGGCTTCTACTTTGGAATTCTTCCGCTACACTACACTGCAACTCCTTCTATCCCTCAAACCGCACACGGGAAAGTACGCGATACAGGTTTCTTTAAGTAGGTAATCATGTGCCTTTATGGTGAAATATAGCTTCACTGTTTGACAGTGAATATTTTCTATCCAGATTAAATTTCTATATAAATAAAATGAAGAAAGCAATTTGCAACTCCTCACAAACCTAACTCGTTCGACAAACTCGGCACCTAGCTGGGAAGAAGTCTTCGAGGAGAGCTTTCAAAGATAATGTTCCCTTCCTTGGGGATTCCATGATCACACGGACTCATCTCTGCTGTAGTGAGTTCAAGCAAGACATACAGAACTTTCAACCATGTAACGATGATAGAATGAAAGACATACCGAACTGAATTTTCTCCCCCGCCAGAAGCGAACCGATTGGCCCTGTTACAGAAGCCGTGTTTTTATCTTTAGAGGTTGCCGATCCGACTGTCGTTCCCGACTCTAGTAGAAGACTACTGCGCTCGCCCAGTGGTAGCTGTTGCGGTACTGGACCTTCGAAACGTACCGGTTTCATGGCTTCCTCAAGTTGGATCTGTGTCAAACTGACCACCTGAAACCCAAAAATAAGTTCCCATATGGGGTATATGCAAGGTGCTTAGAAGGCAGGGGACGAGAGAGCAGCTATTCCCCAAAAGATGACAACGACATGCCTACATCTCCACTCAATAGCATACCAATTTCCTGATGAAAGATACGAACATCAGCAGATACAGATTGAGCTCCATAAACTCTAGGCTGGTAGCAATTCAAGAATAAAGCTATAGCTTGATACCTGAAGAGTGGAGCGAGTTCCGCCCCAAGCAAGGGTGGTGCTGGCAAGGTTCTCTTGGTTGTCATATGACCCAGAGTTAGTTACTGGGACATCATTCTCGGAAAGATTTACACCTGGAGCAGGATTTATACGAGTAGGCCTGTTTGAAACAATCCTGGATAAGAAACCCTTTCAGGGGCAAAAAAAAGCAACACGACTACATATCAGAGAACCAAATAAACTAAGATGTGAACATCACGCTTCTCACTTACTTCGAATTTTTGGGCCTTTTATCGTATGTCACATCAGCCGATCCTCCTGCTGGAGTGCCAATAGGCGGTTGCAGTTGTGCAGAGGTGATGGACGAAGGCAAGGAAGACGATGCAACTGCCGGTGAGTTCCCAGATGAGACGAGTCGTGAATTACTACTATTACTTGGATCCAAAGAAGCGACCTGGGCCACTGTTTTCTTATCACTTACTCCTGCCAAACTAGTCCCTTTGATCCCTCCAAGAGCTCCAGAGTCTCCTTGGAAACCACCCTTAGGAGGAGGTCTTTGCTTTCTTGCAGCCTGCTCCTTCGCCTGAAAAAGACGCTGTAAGTTTAATACCTGATAATGCAAAACCCCGGTCATGACCATTTAGTACAGGAGGTTGACAGGAAGTGCTCTTGTAAAGTAACACTTTTGAATTTACCTTGAGGTCCTTCGTCTTCGCTTTCAACTCTTTCTCCTTTTGCTCTCGCCTGTCGTTTAGCATCTGACGTTTGGAGCGGACCTCGATAAAGTCATCTTCATCACTCGGAGCTTCGATACCTGGTTGCTCAAAGGCTTGGCCTATACCACTTTGTAAAGAAGCTTCAGACCCCACATCTGGACTATACTTACCTAGTACTCCTTCTGCTGGACGAGACAGAGAATAACCAGCGGCTCTTCCATTCTTTTGAAGTCCTTCGGTACTTCCAGATCTCTCAACTTTTCCCAAAGCACTTTGTGATGTACGACCCCCACCTTCCCCATAATACCTATCGTGTACATGTGAAGAAGAATCTCGATAGTTTTCCCTACTACCAGCACCATCACTGAAGTTACCGGAAGGTATAGATGCATCAGACCATCCGGACATATGAGCATACTTATCTCGTACGCCCGGATACTTTGCTGGCCCTGCACCTTCCGAAAAACCTTGCAAGGATGAATCTCTCACTTTGAACTCTGTGCGCCGAAAAGCACTGCGACGGCTGGGCCTCGTTCTGAGCCCTCCGTCAGATCCTGTATCTTGTGGATAATTACCTGGAGCTGTACCATAACCCTCGAAATTACCATGGGGTGCTCCTCTACCTCCATATGAACCGCTTCTACCTCTACCTCTCGCGGATGAGGCTCCCCACCTTGTAGGATTACCTCTTCCTCTCCCACCTGAATAAGGTCTTTGCCATGGACTATCTCCACCTTGATTATTCTCCACGTTGTTGTCCATGGGTACAACAACACTATTCTCTGAGGATGATGATTCCAAGGCACCCTCAGACCCTACACGTTGAACAGCTTTCGATTGAGAAGAAACTGACTGCTGACCTCCTGCAACGCCCATTACATCTCTTGGACCCCGCTCACGACCTCTACGCTCTGGACGCAGTCCATTACCTCCACCACTTCTAGTATCAAGTCCATCTGCTTCACCAGACCTCAGTTCACCAGCGTTCTTACTGGTTTGATTTGACCAATTCGATTTCGCGGTGGGAACGGATCCATGAGATTCAGCCTGACCGGCAACAAGTTGGTCCTTGCCTTGTGAAGATGGCAGCGGCGCTCCTTGAGTTGAGGGGCCATTCGACTGGGAAGCTAGAAAATCTGGAGCCTGTGATTGCATCATGGACTGCTGAACAGGAGAGGGATGCATAAATGAGGGCACCGATGTATGGTGACCCAACTGCCCAAACTGGAAGAGAGGAGTTGGAGGTCCATGTAAGGGTGTAAATTGCGGCCCGGCTTGAGGATGCACATGTAGGGGCATTTGAATGGACCCAATCTGGATGGCTGGCACTGTAGTCGGCACAAGAGATGTGCTGGGCAGGAGTCCGAACTGGAGTGTAACTGGTCCCTCCTGTGCGTTGTGAAGGACGGGCAAAGAGGTCAGCACCGAAGGCACCTGATTTGGTGCAACGGCTGCATGGGATTGAGGCAATGACAAAGCCATAAAGGACAATGGTTGCTGCAACTGTGACAGAAGTGACTGCCTGTTCTCAAAATTTTCACCCGACACTGTTTGCACCGATGCCGTTGCAGTCAAGGGAGTGGACGTAGATGACAAGGTGGTCTGCTGCAGGAAAGGTTGAGTCACAGTTTGTTGCAAAACATCGTGTTGGAGCCTTTCATCAGCTATTTCCTCTCGTGGTGGTTCTTTTTGTTCATTATCGGCACTTAAAGCATGCTTCATGTTGCTAACACCCTCTAGCATTCCTTCAGGAGACTTCTCTTCATATTCCCCAGAATCCTCGCTACCACTACCCTCCTTACCATCAAGAGGACCTGACTCATACTCCTCACTATTAAAGTCTCCGCCTCCTCCAGACTCATTGATCACCTCGGATCTCTCCACGTCTTGATCCACATCGTCTTCCCACTCACCGGCTTCGTACTCCTCGTCCTCATCAAACTCTTCTTCTTGATCATCCACGTCCCCTCTCTCTTCTTCAGCCTCCTCATCACCTCCATACACTACTTCTTCCTCAGATTTTCCTTCTTCAATTCTCTCACCTGAAGGTAAAACCTCGTCTTCACTCTTCTCAGCTTCCTGATCATGGTCGCTTCCTGGAGTTCCAGGTGGCAAGGAAGAATCATCTTCAGGGGATGACGGCTCCTGCTCCATACCCACAGACTGCTGGTCTGATTTCTCATCCTGGGAATCAGAATGCACTTTGGAGGATGCAGGATGACCACGCTGAGTTAATGCCGATGATCCCAGCCAGTCCTTCCCTTGAAACTTGTCGGTGTTGTAGGAACTTTCTCTCTGCCCGGACTCAGCTTGTGACAGAGACCTTTCGGTCTGTCCTGATCTGGCAGGGTGACTTGTGAACCCACGCTGGTTATCCTGTACTATTTCCTGGTCCCATGAAGAGTTTCTGCCATCATCACTGGTAGGATGTAGTAGAGGAGAGGGAGAAGAGTTTGACTGATCCCTCGGAGCCTTCAAAGGAGGCCTGAGAAGTGGTGCTCTCAATGGAGGGGGAACTCGCGGTTGCTTAGCAAATGAATGTCGTAATCGTCCACCATAAGAAGAGGACTCTAGTGCATCAGGTCCTTGTAGATATGTAGACGGCGGAGGAGGGGGAGAAATGCGATGCACCTCTCTATTACGGCGTCGATCAATTTTATCACGACCCCAGTGCCGATCTCCATCTCTGTCATAGGAGCTTTCAAGATACCCTCCGTCTCTTTCAGGAGTGGTAGCTCGAGGTGATGCAGACCTCTTGTTTGATGGACCAGCTTCCTCCGACACCCATCTTCTCTCTTGGTAGCCTTGCGTACGATCTTTCCGAATAGGATAGTCTCCGGGTCCTGCTTCGGATGTCAAGACACTATTCGGGCTCCCATAATATGTATCGCGCTCTCCATAATTTCTTGCACTGTACATGCGATCTCTGATCATGTTGTGAGCAAACTCAAGTCCTTCGTCACGAACATACAAAGAAGACTGCGAAGGACCACTACCATTGTCCGGCGCATCTCGCCTCCAAGACATGAATGGCCTCGAACGCTCAGATTCAAACGCATTTCCACCTCTAAGATCAGGCATTCGTCGAGTAGAGATAGAATGCTGCAAGTCAGGGGACTTAACACGTGAAGGATATTCCTCTTGTGAAGATCTGGGCAGAAGTGGAGAAGGTGGGCGCCGAGATGGTCTAAGAGGAGCTCGATCGTCATCATCTTGATCAGCCTCTGTTATACTGGCGACCATGCGTTCCTCTTCCTCCCTGGCCACATCATCCCTACTGATAGCGACTTCTTCGTCCTCTGCCCTCTGGGCTCGGAACATCTCATCTTCTGAAAATAGTGAAGAATCAGCTTCCTGCTTTTTCTTCTCCGCTTCCCGCTTTGCGATTCGCTCTTCTAACTCAAGCAGCTTTCGTCGAGCATTCTCCTTTCTTCTCTCTTCCTCCAACTGGATTGCCCTCTTCTCCTCCTCTCGGGCTCTTCTCTCATCTTCGACTTTTCGAGCAGCCTCAAGAGCTTCCAGTTCGGCGCGATTGGCGGCAGCTATGGCTTCTTCTTCGAGCCTCAGCTGGCGCTCTTGTTCCTCCCTGGCCAAACGCTCTTGTTCCTCTTGCTCCTTCCTGGCCATTTCCACTGCCCTCTCCTTTTCTTCTATTTTTCTTAAGCGCTCTTGTTCCTGAGCTTTCTGCACCCTCTCCAACTCCGCTTCAAATGACTCTCTCTCGGGATCATGGAAGTTGCTATCCTTCATCTCATCTTTCTTCCTCCTTCCAAGCTTGCTTTCCAAACCAAGGCCGGCAAGAGCTTCAATACCAAGACCAGAGGAGGCCCTGAAATCTAGACTGGGAAGATCAGGAAAATCTCGCGCAAAAGAGTCTTCTGTATAGGGCACTCCAAAGCGTTTATCTCTGCTGAAATCCAGACCGGCATCAAGCGCCAATACCCCTCGCCCTGAGGAAAAATGGCTACCTTTATTGTTAGCGAAATCCGGGACAGCATCGTATCGGTTTGTTCCTCCTCGAGCAAATCGCTCTCCACCGTATCTGCCACGGCCTCCTTCATAATCTCCAGACGGTGGTCGCCTAACATCTCTATTGTAGGAGCCGTCTCGGCTAGAAGAATCACGACCATAGCTAGCATCCCTGCTGAATCCCTCTCTAGGCCCAGTATCCTTAACGAAACCTTCCCTAAAAGGGAATCCTTCACGGTCGTTGATAAAGTCCCTACCCCCACCACTGCGTGGCCTGCCATAGCCATCTCTGTCCAGATTACTATCCTTGCCAGTACCAAACTCTCTCCCGCTTCCATCCCTTCCGAAGGCTCCATGTCTTCCAAAGCCTCCTTCCCGCCCAAATCCTCCATCTCTAGAGACACCCGCCTCTCTATTGTAACCGCCATCTTTCACATGATGTCTTTCTCTCGAAATGCTTCCCTCCCTCCCTGTGAAGCCATCTCTGCTGCCCATTCCTTCTCTGCTGAATGCAGCTTCTCTGTTATCGAAATTGTGATTTGGGTTGAAATTACCTTCTCTTGCAAAGCCAACGTCAATGCCGAATCCACTTTCTCTGCTGCCCTCTCCTTCTCTGTTGTAGCTACCCTCTCGACCGCCTGGCACGAAGGCGGGTTGCATCTCCCTTTGAGTTGACTGCCGACCGAATCCATAGTCATCACTGCGGTTACCCCGCCTTGGATCGTCGATAAAATGCTCCCTTTCAGGTCGCTCTCTATCGGACCGATCAGGCCAATCAGAGTAGGGTCCAGAGCCCCCCTGAGGCCTGAGATTCTGCGCAGGCTCTCGCTCGTCATCCGTCCAGTTTGATCTTTGGTTGACCCGACCTGGAAGTACAGGAACGTAAGAAGAAACCTCGGTCTTGAATCCTGGCCTACTCCCCGCTTGTCCGGCAGGTTGAGGTTCTGAGGGTAGGGCAGTCTCTTTCGACAAGTTCTGCACAGGCTGCTCCCGCTGGGGTTGCAAAGATACGGGTTGTGATGGTTGCAGCTGGGGTACAACTACTTGGGGCTGCAATGGCTCGTCTCCCGGGTGCTTTTGAGAAAGTTGTTGCAATTTCTGCTGCTGATCTTTGAGCTCCTGCTGCTTTACCCGTTGCTTTTGCTGAAGCTCCTTCTGTCGATGCTGCGGGGGGGCAGGAGGAGGTGGAAGAGCTGCTTGGAGAGTTGGAAAGTCTTCTCCCCTCAGTACCACTGCTTTTGCGATCGCTGCCGGAGGACCTGGGGCAGGGGGAGGAGCACTAGCTTGCACTGTCCTAGCCCTAGGTGGTGTGTAAACGCCAGATCTTACAACCGTTTGAGGCGATGACGAAGGCCGCAAGTCCCCATTCACGGGGGCAAAGTAGGGAGGAGGATTAGCCACGGGCTGACCAACGGGAGGAGGTTGCAAAGTTCCCCATGTTGATCCCGCACTCAGAGCAGGCGTTGATCTTGCGGTAACAACGGTGGTTTCTCCAGGCACCGGGGCCACAGCAGCCTCCTCGGCTTCTTTCTGTTGCTGCTTGGTCCAACCCGACGCTCCTGTGCCCCCTACCAAAGCTATAGTCGGGTCATTTCCTGCGTGCTCTCTTCTCAAAGAAGGAAGATTTACAGGCCGTGGTACCGTCAACTTAGCGCCCTTCTGCACTGCTGCGGCTGCTGGCTGCGACCGCACTGGACGCGTGAGCAACAGCATACCCCCATGGGTTGCAATCCGAGCCCTGGACGAGCCGGAACTTGGCAGCTGCGCACCTTGTGATACCGGTTTGCCATAGGATTTGTTCAGGTTCACAGAAGCAAATTTGGTGCTGCTGCTGGACGCTCGAGCCATAGGAGGTCTTAATCCTCTCCCCTGCCTGCATCAGATACCAATCTCTCCTCCTTGTAGCTCCTCCACTCTTGTCTTCGACAATCTACCCACGAATTCTCGCGCGATTCCAACGAACCCTAATCGCTCGTCTATCTTGCTCTCTCTCCCCGAGCCTTCGTGACTCCCTCCCGACCTTCCTTCTCTCTCCCTTTCCCTCCTCGCCCTCCTCTCTCTCTCTCTCTCTCTCTCTCTCTCTCTCTCACTAGGAGCACCAAATCAATAGTGGTGCCAAAAAATCGTTATAAAAAATAAAGGCCGAGGCAGATTTAGAATTTGTTCGGAAGAAAGAAAGAAAGAATCGCTGCTGCTATTGTTCAAGGGTCCTCCTGAGCAACGGGGAGGAGACCACGGATCGAAGTGGAGCCCGTCAGCGGGCCGAGAAAAGGGAAGAGGAGGAGAGAAGAAGAAGAGCAGAGCAGCGCAGCGCAGAGGGTTGGGCGGGGGAGCCCTAGAGGAAGAGAGAACGCAAGTGCGGCAGACCTTTCATGCAGCTTCCCTGCCAGCCCTTCCTTTGCTTTGCGTTGCCTTGCCTTCCCTTGCCTGGCCTCCGCCCAGAATGCCGATTCGCGGGTGCTCCAGGCGTCCGGCCTGGATCCCGAGTCAATGCGAGGCCAGTGGCTGAGGTCCATAGAGATTTCGGTCCAATGCACAGCCCTTCCCGTCAGCGCCTTGGATGTCTACGGATCACGGGCCGGCCTCCTCTTCACCCACGAGCCTCTGACAGCGAACCGGCCGGGCTGACACACCTCCGTTCTCACGCAGAGATGACTGGGGATGGACGGTTATGGACGTCGGCGTGCACGTGTAAGAGGAAGTAGTTGGCGGCAACTGCCTCCTCAGTGCCGGTGACCCGGTGATGTTTTGCTTTCTGCTCATTAAACTTGGCTCCGTCGTCTAACTTGCTGCGTAAGTAAAGCTCTGCTTTCGCTCCCAAAGTTAACGGTCACAACCTTACGCTGATTTTCCTCCTTCCGGAAAGACGCCTCATTATGCAGCGGATTCAAATTCATTTCCACCGCTCCCGGCGACGACTCGACTCATTTCTGCGCCTGTCTATTTCCATCATTGCTGGCCATACGTGACTTTAAGAAATTGTGGATTCTCGATTCCAACTCAAATCGTGTGAATTTGGACAAAGGGAGACATGTGGCTACCACTAGCAACGCAGCTTTCGTTGAGGCCGTGAGTTAGCTCTGCAGTGAAAGGGTCCCTGCTTTTGTGCACTGTTGACATCTCCTAATGAAATTTGGAGTCCTGCTATGATTGCCACAGTCTTCGGCACATGAAATGTATGCTGTAATGATTAACATTCACTGTCATCCAACGGGATCAACAGGATTAGCTTTCTAAGTAAGTTATTTCGGTGAAATGTACATTTCTTGACGGTGACATTGTATCGAGATTCCAGAGTCCTGCTTTACGCCTATCGACAGATGGTGGACTTGTATCTCTTGCAGCAGGACGAGACTTTACACATACATCATTCAAATCTGCGGGGTTTAGGTTTTCCAGTCTTTCCATTGTGTTTTTATCAACTATTGGCCATGTAACACGGCTGTATCGAGAGATGTCGTATGTCGATTAGGGTTTCACGAGTAGACGTGTTGAACTTTGTCAATGAAAACCTAAGTACCCTCCTGAACAGATCTGATACATGAATTAGCACCACCTCAATCTTTAGATAAACTAATGTACATCCCAAAAAGATCCACTGTAAACTAATTCTAGTCTCAATAGGTTGTGATGATAGCATTATTATGCAGAAGTAATCATCAGATTGCAATAATAAACATGTATCAAATATATTGTTCAACTGAAATGTTGTTAATAATTCATTTATTTCAACGTTTAATATTCTGGAATCTCAACCAAAATCAAATAATATAATTTTACAATGATAAAAAAAATTATACATTTATTATTATTTAACATGTTGAAAAATCAAAAGAAATTAAATCAAGATTTTAGTGAATTTTATTGAAAAAAACAACAAACACATAAGTCACAATTTGCTCAAATTCCAATTAAAAAATCCAAGATAAGTTTCAAATATTTTAATTGTTTGATTTTAAGAAAATATATTTGAAATTTTTATGAACTCAAAATACTCAATAATTACCAGCAAGCTTATCAAACACTTAATTATTACAAAAATATGAACAACAATTTATCATTCATCAATATTTATATTCTGTAATCAATGTAAAAAATATTGAAATTATCAAGCAAATTAGAGTTTTGTTCTTAGATTTAAAACAAAAATTCTTGTGATTTGGATATACAAGAAGTTTCATAAGCATCGTTTTGTTATGTAATGTAAAAACCCTTCCTGAAATAAGCTTGGTTTGCAGTACATTGTCAATCAAATATATTTTTCAGTTATTTCATCACATATATTAGACTCTAAATTAGTAATAATTAATTTTATAAATATCAATAACATTAATTTTGATAAACAGAATATCTAATAAATTATATAGATCAAAATAATTAAACTCGTTTATTTGATATATATGTGTAAAAGTCACATGAAAGAATTATAAATCTGAAGGAAATACTCACATTTCACTAAATAACACAAAATCTAGGTTTTGATGTATTTTTTTTTTATTTACTTATAAGGAACTGCTTCAATTTATTGAAATAATTATAATTTATGAGAAACACTTCATTTGAATGTTCAAACAAGTTAGTTTCAAAGTTAATAGATTTGAAAAACAATACATATTTCTTACATAACATTAGTTTTGATAACATGATAAAAAATAAGATTTCAATATTATTTTTCGAATTAGAATTCTTCATTTTTTTGCATTTTTTTATATAAGACTTTAAATTTTGTTAAAGCATCAGATAGTAACAAATTTTTCCATGTGAATTGATATAGTACAAATAAATAAATAATTATATATACATATAATCATCTTACTATAATGTGAACAAAACATAATATAAATTTGATACACAGAGAAAACAACTATTCTTGTTTAAGTTGTAATCTTTGCTTAAAACCTGCAAACACATTTTTGGTTTTATATCTTAATGAGTGTAAAATATAATTCTAATATAGCGGCTAAGTGAGTAAACAAATATATATCACTTGTAAAGCATATGCCATCAACATCCAAAATTGTAAGGATAATAAAATTGAAGAGAAAAATAAAAATTTCAATGAATTTGAATTGAATTTATTTTAAAATAAAAGTTACTACTTTTATTGAATGTCACATTAGGCTAAATTTTTTTCATTTATTCAGTAAAACAGTAAAACATCTGCAAAATCAAATATATGAGTATCTAATAAGAAATAAAAATCAGGCATTTTATTTTTGTTTTAAATCATATGAAGGATTTGACTTTTTGTAAATTCTTAACATTTTATTAGAGAATATTATTTTCATATTTGAAGATATAAGCTGTATATGAACACATATTTATAAACAATTTTCCCATCTTTTAATTCATATATAGATATACAACCATGTGTTTTGGAACTATTTTGCACGTAATTATTTTTTAGATATTTTAATTATGATGTTATATTTAATATATCAAAATATATCTTAAGAAATATATAGTTGTCAAATAAATTTTATACAATTTTTTCTTTTAATCTATCAAAAATTAACAAATAAATTGGTAATATAGTACCGCATTGCAAAATGTTGTTTTTGATAAAATGTAAACAATGAAAAATTCCAACAAAATTTGTTCACCGCAAATCATTGGATGATACATTTGTCATTTAAATATATATTTTGGAATTAGTTTAATATGTTAATTATGTTGCAATAATGTTGAAATAATTTTTATTTAATTTAATTAGATACATAATTTCTTACATAATTTTCATTTAATTAATAGTATATACAACAAATTTATGATGTTTTCAATAAATTTCAATGTATAATTTAAAACGTTCATAAAAATTTCCTAAATTTTATCTTTGATTACTATTATTACAACATTTGTATGTTTGATTAAGTTTGTAATGTTGAAATATTTTTAAATAAATATCAATATTTTTGTTATATTGATGTTTATTTTAAAATTATCAATAGAGTGTACTTTATTTATTTGATAAAATAAGAAATCATATTTACAATGTTTATAATTATACATTGTGAAAAACAAAAAATTTAAGTTATGATAGTAATTCATAATTACTATCATCACTTAATTTTTGTTTCTTCATCACAAACATAAGTTTAAATTGAAATATATGATTAAATGAACATTAAAAATGCCTACATCAATGTTTCAAATGTTTTTATTTCAAATGCTTACACACACCTATGTTTTTACTTCTAAAATGTATTGTTATGTAAACAATTCTATCAATTAGTATGTTTTGACTTTTATACAATTACGATTTATGAAATTAAATTGATTTAATTTGTATACATTTCAAACAAAATTAAAGATGAGCTTATAGAATTTTTTTATCGATGTTCAATTCTATCTTTAGTAGTTAGAGTTCAGGTAAAATTTAATCAAAATGATATAAATTTTCACAATTAGTGAAATATTCATGATTCTCAAATAAATTTATGTGTTTAATATATATATATATAATTCATGTGCTAATAAATAAAAAAATATGTTAGTTATATATATGTTTGACGCTTGACTATTGAATATTTTCGTTAAGTTCAATATTTGTTGTTTTATATAAATCTTCTAAATTATTGTGACAATAATGTTAAGAAAAAAGTTCACTTCAAGATGAAACATAAATTTTGAACATAAAATATCATGAAAAGATTTATTATTCTTTATATAGATACTTCAAATATATAGACAAAGATAATTTAAACTTTGAAGATGAGTAATCATGAATGGTTTTTATCAATATATATTAACAAAGATAACATAAATTTGAAAATGATTTTTTTTTCTTTATATAAATATTTTAACCATATGCACATGAATAGCATAAACTTTGAAGATGAGATGTCATAAACAATTTTTTTTATATATACTTCAAACATGTATACAAATGTATCATAAACTTTGAAGATGAGATGTAATGAATGATTACCTTCTACCTTATATAAATATTTTTAATACATACACAAATATAACCTAAGTTTTAAACATGAAATACCGTGAATGCTACTATTTTTTATTATAAAAATACTTGAAACATATACACAAGTAAAAATTTTTCTTTCAATCGTCGAATTCACTTATAGTGAGTTCAAGATATAGCGGATAAACCTAATGAATACACGGATTGCTCACGTGTCTCTCCCATCTAACACATGGAATCTTCACCTTACAAGCACATAGATTGATGACGAGTAGTTGTCAACGAAGTGATTATTAATGTGACAATGTACATATGTAACACTAGGGTTTAGAGAGAAGTTCACTCGAAGATAGAAACGTAAACTCTAAAGATGAGAGATACCAACAATGGTTCTACTCTCCCTTATATAG